TCCAAAAAGAGAAAGAAATGGAATTAGAAAGATTACGACAAGGTAGTCGCGAATGTTCTGGTCACAATAAATCGCCTTACAAACCTTCTACTTCCCATAAAGTCACTATATCTCTTAACGGTGAGTTCACCATAGCCATATCTAAGTTTATGGACATGCTTGAAAGATATCAATATTTTAAGAAGGATGCCGATGAACTTGAGTGTTGGATCAATAAAAAACTGCAAACATATGCAAATGAGGATTTTAAAGAACTCAGTAATCTTCATCTGAAAAAACAGAAACATCAGGAGTTTGAGTTCGAAGTAACAGTTCATGCTGAAACACTGTCAGCTCTGGATTCTGCGGGAGAAGAAATGATTGGTCAGGGACACTACGCAACAGATATTATCAAAAACCGTCTTGATGAACTGCATGCCCTGTGGGAAAGGCTTATGGCTATTTTCAGAGAAAAATTACGTCTTATTAACCTAACGCTTAAATTTGTCCAGTTTTTACGCCAAGTCGAGGAGATACTTTTCTGGATACGTGAAAAAGAAACTTACGTAACATCAGAGGATTTAGGTCAAGACTTGTAACATGCTGAGACACTTCAGAAAGGGTTTAATGAGTTTACAAAAGATCTCGAGAATCAAGAAAGTCGTGCAGAAGACATCTATCGGAAGGCAGATGAACTTCTAAAAGAGAAATTTCCTGAGGATGCCCTAGTCATAGAAAAGTTCAGACAAGTCCGCGAAGCTATAGAACGTCTGAAGGATCTGGCTAGAAAACGACAAGAAAAGCTCCTGGAAGCCTATGAGATACAGCGCTTCTTTAGAGACATAGATGGAGCTATATCGTTGGTGAATGAAAAGTTCATTCCTTTATCCATTGAGGACTGTGGTCGTGATCTTGCCTCAGTCCAAGCCTTACAAAGGAAGCACGAAGCATTAGAAAGGGATTTGACTGCCCCAGATAAAAAGATTGTTCAACTTGGAAATGATGCTAAGGCGCTTGCACAGAAGCATCCTGATTCGCAAAACACTATACAAGGCAAGTATGATGCCTTAATCACTGCATGGGATAAGCTGAAAAGTCAGGCTGTAGGTAGGAGAAGGCAAACTGGAAGAGTCATTCAAGATGCATCGCTTTTTGGCTGACTGGAGAGACTTGAGCATCTGGATAAATGACATGAAGACGTTAATATCGGCGGATGATTTGGCAAAGGATGTAGCTGGTGCTGAAGCCCAAGTAGAGCGACATAAGGAATACACCGCTGAGATAAATTTTCGAGCTGACAGTTTCGATACATGCATGCAAGAAGGTCAGGCATTACAAAGAGTTGGCCATCCCTGTAGTGGAGACATAGCTGCTAAACTTTCCACCCTTGAAAGAGGGAGAGCCTCCCTGATGCAGTTGTGTGAAGAAAGACGTGAACAGCTAGAACAGTGTATGGGCCTTCTGTATTTTTACCGCGACGCTGAACAGTCGGAATCTTGGATTGGTAAGCAACAGGCCTTCCTAGAAATAAAAGATGTGGGAGACTCACTCGATTCTGTGGAAGCACTCATAAGGAAACATTAAGACTTCGAAAAGTCGCTTCTAGCACAAGAAGAAAAGATGCGACAACTTGATGAATTCGCTGCAAAATTAATCGAATCAAACCACTATGCGGCTGCACAGGTTGATGAGATTCAGGAAGGTCTTCAAAATAGACGAAATGCATTAAAGGAGAAAGCTCAGAACCTCCGTCAGCGTCTTGAAGATTCCCACCGTTACCAAATGTTCGATAGAGATGCAGATGAAATGCAGTTGATGAAAGTTACAAAGACTCCACGAATTTGCAAACAAAGGTGCAGAAGCATCAGAGTTTTGAGGCAGAAATACAAGCGAACCAATCCCGCGTTGAAGATATTAAAAAGACAGGTCAGGATTTGTTAAATGCAAACCACTACAACTCGCCAGAAATAAAAGTAAAGATTGAACAGTTGGATGAAACTTGGTCTCATCTCGTAAATGCCATGGGAGACAAGAAGAAAGATTTAGATCAAGCAAGTAGGCAACAACAGTTCGCTCGCAACACAGAAGATGTCGAGTTATGGTTGAATGATGTTGAAGCTCAGATAGCCTCAGAGGATGTCGTTCGTGATCTAAACGGTGTGATGAACGTACAAAAGCGGTACAACTTGCTTGAATCTGATGTAGCTACTCATTGTGAACGTATAGATACATTCAAAGTCCAGGCTGACACGCTTGCTGCAGAAAGTCATTTCGACGCTCCTATTATCCAAGAAAAACAAAGACAGTTAGGCCAACGTTACCATGACCTGCAAATCCCTCCGAGTCAACGTCGTGAGAAGTTAAGAGATGCCCTTCCCTCGGACACATCTTTGCAGCTTGAATATGGTGACTATAGTGAGCTGATGGAGTTACTAGTCGATTGTTGTAAAGATTTTAAAGCACATTCGCTTAACCAAATTGAATCAGAAATGTGGCATCAGTATGCTGAAAGCTTCACTACTGGCTCAGTAGCCACTCACAAAGATGCCTTCAGGTTATGGGTTAAAGATAAGAACCCTGTTGTTGTAAACTATATTGGGTTTATCGAGTCATACCGTGATCCCTTTGGCGTTCGTGCAAAGTTTGAATCATTTGTCGCTGTTGTAAATAGGTCAGTGTCTAAAAAATTCCAGCGACTTGTAAATAATGCTGAAAGGTTGTTAACAAATTTATCATGGCCTTCTACATTTGAAAAAGTTAATTTCTTACAGCCAGACTTTACTAGTTTGGATGTGGTGACTGCAACTGCTGGAATTCCTGTCAGAACTAATATTCCTAACTATGATGATGTACGACAAGTTGATGGATTTAAAAATGTTTCTTTGAATAATGTACTTAGTGTTCGTCTCGAGGATCCTAAACCAGAATTTCTACGTAATGAAGACAAACAAATGTACGTGGAACTTGCTGAAAGTTCCTTTGAATTACAAGTTGGACTTCATGAACTGACGGGATATGGTTCAGGTAAACTGTTTCGGCGTGATTGTTATGGAAAACGAAATTTCCACACGAAAACTACTGAATATGTCATAAATGGAGGTCCTGTAAAAAGTTGGTATGAACCAGGAGAAACGTATGACAGCAAGTTTTTAAACCTTTCATCTGCAATAGATAAGTGTCGAGCTGAGTGCGTTGGAATTAATTTATCTGACTTACCTCTTGTTCTGGAGCAGTTCGGTTTGACTACCGACTGTGTTCAAGGCGATGTCTCAGATTGGTATCGCGGTACGTCCAACGTTTGCGTTACATTTTTGCGTGATTCGTTACATAAAATTTATCTTGTTGTAATCCTTGCACAAGTCCTCTACTACTTCCATACCTATAACTATTAACTCTCATATCAAATAGTTATGGTTAACCAAAGTAAAAAGCAGCGAACTCAATCCCCTGTAAAACTGATGACTAATTTTAAGTCGTTGATTGCTACATCAAGCAACATACTTCCTACAAATGGTTATAGTGAGCCACAAAACTCACTTGTATGTCGTAAGCGTCGAGCTGAAACTGAGGATAAAACTGCACTGACAGCTAGTATTAGCACTACTCCCAAAAATTCAGTACCCTCTGCTCATACAGAAACCCTCCCTACACCTTATGTGCTTATCGAAAAGCTCCAGCCTTCAAGCTCTGTTTCAGTACTATCTTCAGAAATAGAACTTCTAAAGTTGTCTATAGGAGAACTTAAGGCCGAGTTAAGGGACTTAAAAAACAATAAGTCAGTAGATCCTGGAATTTCCGATACCAATACCAAAATCTCCAATTTATCAGGTCAGATCAGTGATATCAGACTGCAGGTCTGTGAACTGACACCTTTAACTATTCTCATGAAAACTGTAGACCTTAACAAACTTGACAGTGAATCGATATCTAAGGTGGATAACCTCATTAACTTTGTTACTACAGAAGTAACAAAACGACTAGATGCTAAACTAAGTGCTATTGTCTACAACGTTCCGGACAATGAGGCACTAAAATGGGTACAGCGCATCCTACTTAGTGAGGCGAAAATGCCCAACTCCAACACTAAGTGCTACAGGCTGAAGAAGAGTCAACATGAAAAGTGTTGTCCTATTCGTTTTCAGTTCGAAACACCTGCTGAGGCCAGAAAATTTATCCACTCCCAACACACCCCACTGCAAGCCAGAAATTATAAACTAGTAAAGGTTGCGGTGGACAAGACCGTCATAGAAAGGCGCGTATATAATTATCACACTGAGTCTAACTGTGGAATAAACAATAGGACATTGCAAGCAGCAATTATACCCAACCCTTTGAGAGATACCGTAGAATCCACCGCACCACCCCTCTCTAACCACACAGAATTATCTTCTCAGAGAGCGACACCAACCGAAAGGCCGCTAAATTGTAATCAAATAGCCAATAAAACTATACCACCTACCACCGTAGATTTAGACATGTCACTAAATAATCCAAGAAAAAAAGTCAAAATCCCCCGAAAGTTGACCCTTTCCTCTCCTAGCCATAAGTCCATTGGTAAAAAAGAGAAGAATATGACCCCAAATCATGCCAACAACAACAATGGCAGTATAAGTAAGCCCACATTCCCCACGGTCAATAGTATTGGCACCCACAACGTGCGAAATAGCACCACGGCCAACACTGATAACCAGAAAAGTGGATATCAAGACACCGAGGGGTATAGTCAACCGAGATGTGCGTAAGGTTTGCCTATTAGAAAATATTGAGGAGAGATAAGCACTTTGTAGGATATATAGCTGGATAGTGGATGCAGATGTGGCGAGAGTAAATTGTACCATTTCTGTGTCTTACTAGCAGGTAGAGTAGGTAAAACCAGGCTGGTTTTGAGGGGGCGGTGTTAATTCCTTTCCTACTTGTTCATTCTCAATCTTTCCTTTGTTCAACATTATACTACTTGCCATTAGTGTGTAGTGTGGATTTTATATGTTAATTTATAACAATGACATTTGCTTACAACTGCAGTTGAATTACTTCTTCTATTATCATTCTATCAATGTATAGTTCTTATTTTTCTTCTCCTTAAACATTATTTGCTGTCCTTACCCTATAGTGTATGCTTTCCTATTGAAAGTTGTTTGTTCATATTTGTTTATTCTTTGCTTGGCATTCGCGGGCCGTTTGAACCGACACGTGGATCGATCTTGACACAGCATTGCTGTTTTTACTTATTGACTGCACAGTGGTTGTGCATTTGACGCCATTTAGCCACAGATACCTCACATCTTGAGGTTTGTATATTATATATCTATTTTTATGTAATAAAGTACCGTATTGCAGAATATCCTGTATTTCGCACTTTACGCGTCACTCTACGTGTGGTTAAATCTATAATTTGGATTATCGTTTCGGATTTCTTTCGGGAGAAATTCACAACATGTATGTATTTTTTGGACTGCTGCTGGTGTAATTCAGTGTCAATTATAAAGTGCTTTTCCTCAAGTCGTGTTCTGCTTCTTCGCTCTACCCTGCGTGCTAGATCTGTATAATTGTTTGTGTTGTTCTATTACAGCTGTATGGCTGAAGAGAAAGTAAAAGTTGGTTGTCGTGTTAAAATAGCATCGAGATCCGTTTTTGGGACCGTTGCTTTTGTCGGAATAACACAATTCTCACCAGGTAAAAAATTTTTGTTCTCATCGTGGACTTAGGAAAATGGGTGGGTATAATACTAGACGAGCCCAAAGGGAAGAACAACGGCACGGTTCAGGGGAAACGCTACTTTAGATGTGAGGAAAATTTTGGTATATTTGTGCGCCCATCTCAGGTATGTTTTATTTTAAACGGTTTTATGCATTGCTTGCATCTCTCTATGTGTCAGCTAATGCATATTATAAGAAGTCTTTACTATCAAGGGCTCCATAATATCTTTCTCATCAATTTCGCATTACCCTATTTAGCTTTTTCAGTCCTTGCACTCCGTATTTATATCAGATTATAAAAAGGTATTCCCAGCCCCATGAAACTGGATTCCCAACTGAATATTTAGTCTGCTGGTATTCTTACTCTGCGTGGAATTATATTGTAGCATTGTTCAGACCTACAGGCACACTTAGTGGAACCTAGGCGAAGTTAAACTATCATAACCAAAATTACGGTGACTTTGGGCAACCAATCAGAATTCAGATGAAAACAGGTCGCATAATCTGTGGAAAATGCATTAATGCACATTGTGAATACGATATTACACTGAATAATTGTCGCTTATGTGTTGTAAGGATGTCTCCCAGTCGCTAACCGGACAACCTAAAGAGAAGTCTTACCATGCGTGATAGATTTTTTCATCCAGGTGAATGTTGATCGTGATACTTTGAAATCCACTGATGTTTCTGACACTTCTTTAACCTACACCTAACTGTAACCGTAATCTTAAAAGCCATAACCGTAGCATACCTGCAGTACAGATTCACAGAAAAAGTACTTGGGGAATAAGTAGAATACTGTATCTACTCTCGCCAAATTCTAAACGGTAAGCATGATTTGATTTCGAATGACATTTCCGTAAATCTGATTGGTTCTTGGATGTCCACTTTTGACAGACCTTGACTTTGGCTGTGATACGTTAACTTCGCCGGGAACTGAATCCAACTGTAGTCTCCAGCCTATAGAGCTTATGACACTAGAGCATCCAAAGGGCTTAATCAACATGATGTCGGGACTTACTGTCATTTCTGTCGAGTAGTTGTTTCGCAACATTTCCCTAGAAGGCGATAACTTTTATGCTTGCTCAGCCTTTGCTTCAATATGCACCAGGCAGTCGATTTTCTTCCTTACTTCCAATTGTTAGTCTCAGCCATACCTTAATATCTTAAAGAACAGACAGAGTGCGCCCCCTGAAGAATATACTGCTAAAACATTGTCTATCCAATGGTTTGTGAGACTTTAGGAATGTGTGCGATATATTCCTTGTTTTCTAAGAAACTGGACTTGGTGCTCATTGGCTTTAGATCTTGCCTTCAAGCCAGTGGACACCGGGCTCTAATCCCATTTCACTTACTGCAACCTGAGCAACTGATTAGTATCAGAAGCCTCTACATAATGCGTAATTCGTAGGTGGGTACATTAAATATGTTTTCCGGGTAGTTGGGTTCTTCTAAATATAATTCCTCACTCCCGCAAATGTTTGAACCGACACTTATTTCAACTTTAGAAAGTCACTTTGTTATCAATTGGTGAAGTGTGAAGGCCGTCTCATTTTCGTTATCCACTTCTTTAGTGAAATATCTGTATACCTATTAGGCGTCAAGAATATGTCAGTATGCGCCGTTATATTATCGCAGTGTTTAGTCATCAGTGTTGAGTCTGCAAAGATTACATTCATTTATTCTACACACCACCTCTTTTCTTTGATAGAAAATTAACTGTCAATCGTCTAAATTGGTTTTGTCATTTGTTACGCCTACTTACCACCTACCATGGCTTGTTGAGTCAAGGGTGGCCGTATCCGTACCCAGCCAATGAATGAATTCATGACTGTTAGTCCAATTAGTTTGGAAAAGTGCAACTTGCTTGCTGTGGTCGAAATGACTACCAAAACTCGTGACTAAAGATTGTGGGTGATTGGGATCAAAATAAATTATACAGACGCAAACGTATTCTCATCTTTTTATTTTAAATGTGTTGTCACATACTTTGTTTCTGTCCTTTTATTTCACAATATTTAACCACTTCTGATTACATTGTTAACATCACTTCTCTATTCGCATTCTTATTACCTTACATTTATATATATATATATATATATATATATATATATATACATGAACCATCATACAATCATGCAACTCCTTGTATTAATAATGGTAGGATAATAGTAATATGACTCCATTCAAATACTGTATAGTCCAATATCCAGGACATATTTTAATTCTCTTGTCCCGCATTGTGCCATTTTTCTGTTTTATTATGTTAAGGACTATTTACAGTGTTTGTCTTTGAGTGATATTATGAAATGTGTCAGGTGGTTCTGCGATGATTAGTTGAGAATGCGAACCGTAATAAGTTTTCTCCATTTTGTGTAAGTCAATTCTTGTTTTTCCCGTTGATTAATTGAACGGAAATGTTTGGCTTCTGTCGACATGCGGCTCTGAATGTGGACTATCCGATGATGTCTGAGGATCAACAGTGATGTTATTTGCTGCCGAAGTGGCTTAGTGGTTAACACTGGCGTTTGAAACGACGGGGACTGGGTTTGATTCTCAGCAGAATGCGGTCGGTCGGTCGGTCGGTTTTCGACATAGAACTTTGCACATATGTGCGGCAGTTCAAGTCGCCACAATCTACGTAGCACGCAAAGCAAGAGAAGAAAGTAGAAGAAATGCATAATATAGACAGTAAACAGAGGTGTGAGACAAAGGAATAGTAATAACGGAGAACAAAAGTTTAATTGGAAATCATAAGTCACAAGGAGTGGATGCATCTGCGCCACTGAGAACGATTTTGAGCCATGTCACCAATTGTTTCCAACCATTGGTTTTTACCATCCCGAGGGCCCCAACCAGGAAGTCTACATCTTCCTACGTGGCTTAGATTAACTGTTGTGGATTTCATTGATTGGTGCCATGTTTTGGTTTGACCGCCGCTAGCTCTTTTCCAGCCTGACCCTATATCAGCTAACATTGCCCGTCGAGGAAGGCGATGACTAGGCATACGTAGCACATGTCCTAACCTATTTTGATTTGACACTAGGAACTAGTGTTATGCGTCTAGTCCTCTCTTTGGTGAAGACTGAATTTTATCAGTCAGGTTGTAATGTGGCCACCATTCTAGGTAGCTCGCCACCGTGATGGCGAGTAGTGCAGTCCTTTCTCCTTTTCACTGATCCGTTCAGGCGGACAGCGCACATTCGGCTATCTACCGGGATCCAGTCAAGTAATGTCTTTTCTGCTCTAGTACTTAAAGCTATCCCAACACCAGCTAATCCTCGTGAGCTAGCCGTCGCATCTCCTGACACCCTCAAGGTGAATTTTGCAGATTCATCCTGTTGGCCAGGTGGGGTTAGGTGAATAACCACACTTGGGTCCTGTATGCGTGTTTCTGAAACACAACATACATCAATGGCTCGGGATGCCAGAGTCTTGGCTAGTGATGCTTGTTTTCCTATTTGGTAAAGTGTCCTAACACTAAATGCTCCTATATAAAATTGGTGGCGTGGTTTTAGGAGACAATCGGTGGTGGCTTTTTGGCTTCCCTCGTTATCAGTGCACACAGAGTGAAGGGGAAGTGAAGAGCCAACAAGTAGAGGAGTTGCATTGGTAGAAGGAAGGCAAGATAATAGAGATGAAGATGAAGACAAAGATGAGCGAGGATTAGAGGGGTTTCGCGTGCACTTCGGATTGTGAGGGCGATTGGTACTTCCCGGCTGCCCACACCGTGGAAGTTGGTTGCGTGACCGCAGAGCCCAGGGGACAACTGCTTGAGGCCGGTCACACACGGCCTGTTTTTGTTTGTTCTTTTTTATTTGGTGTGTCTCAGTAGCGTATTTATCACTTCTGCCCTGTGACACGGCAGCAGAAAGCGCGGTCGTTGTTAATCCGGGCCCCGACCGATCCGGCATGATATTTTGTGATTTATTTGAAATCATAGGATTGGATTGGGTAACTGCTTTTAGTCTAACTGCTATCCAAACAACCTTTCTGGCATGGTAGGACCTGCAGGAACATAAGTTCCAGCCAGTATAGCTTGTTGGGTCATTGCAGTGTTCAAGCCCGACCACCACGTCAAGGTAGCAGCTTTCGGTCGGGTCAGCAGAAATACCATCACACACACTGGAGATTGCAGTTACCTCTAGATGACGAGTCCTAAACGAGAGGGAACGTACTTCCGGGATTCCATTGATAGTCCCTATACACCAAATAACATGACAGATATGAGTCTGGAGTTTGTAACAAAGTAAATTAACTAATATTTATTGTTAAATTTGAATCCAGCGTCCTTTGTTTTATCTCTTTGTTCGGCAGGTAAATATTTTAGTCCAATGTACTGGTCCCCTAAAAAGTATTAATTAGATTTCATTCGCAACAGTAGTATATATTTTGTTGTACTTTATTCAGGTTGTGTCCAAAAATATCGATCGTGAATGCATCTTGCAATTAAAAAATCTAATTTATTTATTCCTCCTTTGTTATCCAGCTTACTCTTCTAGATGGTCCGGAAAGATCAGACGTAATGAAGTTATCCACATCTAGCGTTGTTTCCGAATCAGGTGCCACTTCAGAATCAAAGGAAGTTACAAAACTTGCTGGTTCGACATCTTCGTTGTCTGTAGGATTGAAAACTCCTGAGACAGTTAAAGGTATTGAATGTTTTATTTTCTGCCTGTTCGTCATTTATCTACTTCGTTTTGAATCTTATCACTAATATGTATAAAAGTAATGTAATGTAGCATTTTAACCCCAAGGGAGCACATAGTGTTATTTACATCAATAACATTATTTGTCAGCTGAAGTGATTTGTATGCTTACTTCATTTGTATTGCCTGATAAAGGAATAAGAAGTTTTGCTACACTCAATTCATTACCCATTTATAGATGGTGATACTAAACAGAAAACTGTCTGTTGTATGGAAATTAATGTCATAGCTGAGATGCTCATGCCTCCCATCTGAACTTTCTATAAGATGCTATTAACCACGTTAGCTCACAGGTTGCGAAACAAGTCAATCAACTAAGGTAGAGACACAGGCATATCGTGAAAACAATTTCATCGTATTTTATTATCAGTCATTTATAACTTCGATAAACATTTCACTTTTTTTCTTCAGTGTTATCGGCTTTACTCTAATCGCAGAACTGTCAACTGACATTGTGCTCATTACTTTTCAGGAGCTATTGTGGTAACTATCTCCATATTTGTTGTTCATGTATTTTGAGAAGTCATTTTATATACTTCAAGGTAGTATTTAGGCATCTACTGAATGAGTTCATCAGTCCAGTTGTTAGCGCCAGATGTCCGGATTCGCCCTTTCAACCAGGCAGCTTAAAGGTAGTAAACAGGAATTACGTAATCAAAGGCTATAAACGCGTAAGCACATGAGACGACTTCTAGAGGAAGACTGAAGTCTACCCACCGTCGACCGTACCAGGTCGTTAATTGTAGCCGTATACCAAACTGAAGCTGATCAATTCGTGTCAGATTTATCAGCAGGGAATCACGTAAATAAGCTAATACTGTCAGTGCGTGACATTACTCAAAACTCATTTTTCAATTCTGAGGATAAAGATTTACCGATTGGTAAAGAAGAATATGTAAAAATATAAAAGGTCACCCTGTCCCTTTATAGAATAATTTTATTTGAGGAGAAAAACAGTGATGCAACATTTTTTACTGATGACGTTTCGACAACAATTTATTGCTTACAACTATATCAAGGCACTCACATAACTTTTAAACTTCGTTTATGTAATTCTATTATTTCTTATCCATATCTCCAGTATACCAGCGTTACGTTATTCCTACTCATGTGTTACCTATAGATTAAATGAAGAAAAATTCAATGCTCGATTTCTCTCTCCACCTATTTATATTACTTTTTAGAACTGTAGCTCTCTCCCCATTGTATTGTGTGATTTTCATTTTTGTGAAGTCCATCATTTCACACTAAGCCAAATTCGTATGCTCCAATAATCTGACCAAACAACTGGTCTTATAGTTGTAGTTGATCTCACAGTCACTGCAGGTCATTATATTGATTAAATAGTTTTGTCTAATAGGGTCCCTTAATCTCTGAGTTACTTTGTAGGTTTAAATTCCACCCTAATTCCTGCCTTGTTATGAATCCTACGTCGAGTTATTTTATCGAATGAAATGATCCCATGATATGGAATTATACTCTGTTCCTACATCAAGGGCAACTGCGTTTTCTTGTCTAGAAATTCGCCAACATTTTTCTCTTACTTAAGGAGATAAATTACTAGACATTGCGTTCCTAGTTACTTATTGCATTCTACGTTGTTATCTCTCTTTCTCTTTCTTGTGGAAAATACCCGGTGAAGTATCAGTCGGTGTTGAAGGCGGTCCAACTCTCTTACAGTTTAAAAATCTTGAACAACAAAATGAACGAATGAAAGGAGCACTGGTCAAGCTACGTGATTTGGTTAATCAAGATAAATCGGAAATTTCAGCTTTAACTAAACAGGTAAATTCCTGCTTAATAATTTTTATGTATGATGCAGTGAGCAAAGAAAGAAACTCGATGAAGGTAAAGTTGTAATTTTGATGTTCTTGCGTTCTTTGAGCTGGATGATTTTAAAACTGCGAAACTTTCATGTTCCTTCCGAACAACATCTTCAGTACAAGCTTTTTATCAAAGCGCATCGGGTGCAGGGTTCTAGTCTGAGTGGAACACCAGCATACGTACGTCCAGATGATGAATCTCAAATAGGACGAAGTGCTCATCCTACATTCCTCTGCTAGTCACTGTTATCATAGTAAAGGTTTTTCTAACTTATGAGATAAGTAGTGAATGCACTCAACTTACCAATTCAATATTTCTAAACTTATTAATATTCTGTACACCAATCAAGTCTACTTTTAAGAACACTAAACAGGCTACCAAAAGTTATAAATATTAATGGAGCTGTATAGCTGAGTATTGTGAATTCTTCGCATATTGGCTTCAACTGTGTTTTGAATTTCGTTTATTCTTCCAACTCTTCTTTTAACATCAACTCACTCATAGACAATATCAAAGTTTACAGTTAAGTCTGAGATAACAGTTTGTCTGAGTGGGAAAATAAAGCCTAAAAGTGAATGGTCGAGCAAATGGAAGTGATGAATGATGTGATAAGAGTTATTTACCTCTGTTGTCTTACGATTTTTGTGAAGCTCGAAATGTTATGGGGACAGTCCAAATCTGTGACCTAAAGTCCAATTCGAAAATAAGCAAAGCAATGTCATGATGCATTTTATCTTAATTTTGGTAACTAAGTCAAATCTGTAAGCTATTTTTACCTGTACACATTCTGTATGGAATCAAGGCGTTTTAAACTCGTCACATGGTACCCCATATTCACCAAGCCTTCATTTTTGTGGCAAAATTTCTTCCACATAATAATGCTGTTAGTAGGACACCCGTGTAAACTCTATGAAAATGTGTCTATTAGTAAGGTATTTCGAGAAGGTTAGATCAGCTGAGATTCTTTGGTTGTACTTGGTGCATTTAACCGCCATTTATCGCTGATTTATTGTTATTGTCTATTATATCTGTAACGGCCAGTTAGATCAGTTCACTCTTATTGCTTTCTTTAAACTAGACGACTAATGGTAGTAGTAAGGTTTTCACCATCACAATGAACTATACAGTCAGAAAATAGAAGTTAATTGGTGGATGGTGACTAGCAATAGAATCCAGGATGCGCATTTCGGCCTATTTGGGACTCGTCAATTGGATCTAGCTGTATTCCGCAGTGAGTGATGATGTCCCCACTGAGGCTCGGACGCAGTGCCCATAGCTTCAAACGCCAAAGCGTTATCCACTAGACCACTTGGGCCAAGAGGGCCACCTCTTGTGCAATGGGTCATATTAATTATTTAATTCAACTGGAACTGCCCCATATGTGTGCAAAGTTCTATGTTGAGATCAGTAAGTTAGTCAGCTTTATCTGTATATTCATTTATACTAATTCAGCTCACTTCTATGCTATTTTGTAATATTGAATCACAGTCACTGACGTCTGATATCGTATTGAGATTGTGGGAATTTCGTTGTAGGGATTTGGATTAATTTTACTGCAATCCAATATCAGTTAAAAAAATTATCAAAAACCATAGAACACTAGACAGTGGTTTTGTCCCAACTTGTGGTTCTTCAGCAGCATGCTAAATAGTCATCGGAATCAGCCTTGTGACATGAAGGTCCTGAATTCGACCTCCGTTGGGGACGTGAGTGCGTATTGCTGAAGAGTTCTAATCAAGTACGAAACAGTTGTCTGGAGCTCCTTGATTTTGAATATTTCCCTAACTGATGTTGGTTCACGACGAAATCTACACTATCACATTGTATTTACCTACTTTTTATGAGAATTTGAAATACCAAACTTTAAACTGAATAATTAATTTTGTTTATTTGTATTTTAAAGATTACATCTTTAGAATCAGAAGTTAGTCAACTTCAAACAGAAAAAGAACGATTAACAAAAAATTTAAAGGATAGTGTTGAACAAATTATTGAATTAAAAGAACAAGTGGATGCTTACCTCGGCATTGATACAATGGTCAGTCAGTTGACACAACGTAATTTAGAACTGGAAGAAACGCTTGAGAAAATTAAAGAAGAAAGAAATGATCTGGTATGTATACACATGTTGATGTTGATATGCTTAATAAATCCTTCATATGTATCCCTGCAGATGTTATGATTCCCAAATCTAATAGTATAAATAATGACTGCTTCTCGTGTTTTAACACGAACGATGTCCTTAATTGTCTTCAATCTCTGAAACCTACCCAGTCCCTTGGTCCTGATGGAGTTCCTGCTGTTATCCTTAAGAAGTGCGCTGACATCTTATGTTACCCATTAACCGACATTTTCAATGAATCCTTTTCCCAAAGTATTATTCCGGACTCATGGAAAAATATCAAGGTTGTTCCAGTACCTAAATCAACAAGTGGACCTACTGTTAAGTTTCGACCGATTGCTATTACCTCACCTTTTTTAAAAGTTATGGGAAGACTTATTTTACTTAATCTTGAACCCTCTTTAAAGCCTTTTAATGACCCCAACCAGTTTGCCTATAAACATAGTAGGAGTACCTTAGATGCCGCTGTTGTTCTACATCATAATATAGTCTCTAGTTTAGATAGAGGAGCCAAATATGTTCGGTGTGCCTCCCTTGATTACACATCTGTATTTGACTCTGTTCCTAGGTCTCTTGCTAAGTAGAAAACGGGCTTGAGTATAAACTGCAACTCAGAGATGTAATTGGGTAATTAAAATAAAATAAAATAGAGTAAATGAGAGAAATTCTGATGGAAAGAAAATCGGGTAGCCTAGTTATTTAAGCAGACCATTATTGTTTGCTCTGATTTATTCTTAATATTGGTGCTCTACAATCTTTTATTTACACGGTTTGCGGAAAACTGTAAATAAATCGTTGTTAATGTAACAGGATATTATGAAATATCTTTAATTTCTAGTGTAAATGTAGTTCACACTTTTTTTTGTCTCACTTTACCCACTTACCTAACTACCGTTCATTCGTTAGTTAAACTACTATGGAATGGGAATTAGTTGTAGCATTTCTACACTCAATAATGACGAAAGTTTCCTGCAAGCGATGTGACTCCTTCATATTTCTAATTAATTAACTCTAACTAAACGGTCGGTTAGGAGCGGACAGGTGGTGTTCAATCCATGACGTGTTGTCATGGGATAGAGAATAGTTGTCATTAGTTTAGCATCTCTTGTTGCACCGCTACCCCGAATGACAGTCCAAATCACTGACTTGAGTTGTTATCAAATATGGCTGAGAATCGTAATCTGAGAGTAGCATGCGGTGATAAGTCCCCTGAATAAGTATGCTTGCGAGTTTGCATAATTCTGTTCCCCAGCTACTCCATTTCTCTTCCTTATACTGTGTCTTATTGTTTTTGTTTTGTGTGGCCCATGTCGTGTTGCCCATATTGTAGCAAGTTGCTGCTGAAATAATAACAAGAATGAGGATGGATTTCCCGCCGATGAAATTAGTTGATGGTCGCGCTAAAAACACGAATTGGTAGAAGTTAGAATTCATGGGCCAGTGGCTGAATGGAATACGAGCTTGCCTTGTAACCGGAAGGCCCTGGGATCGAACCCCAGTCCGTACATACTTTCTCTCGGAAATTAGTCAGTGGTCCTCTTCAAACGGTCCTAAGCTGAATCCGTCTAAATATCAGGTAGTAAATTTCACTTTCAGACGAAAACGTGACCTACAACAACTAGCTAGCTCACATGGTCCCACTATCATTGATGGCATAGAGATTGAAACTACCTCTAATGTCAAATACCTTGGACTGAGGATTTCCTCCGATCTTTCCTGGTCCTCTCACATCTTGCTAGTTACTAGAAAGATGTTTCGCTTGACGTTCTACGTTAGGAAGTTAAGGCAGTCTGGTATAAAGCAGTCTTTGCTTTCTCAGTTTGTCAACTCTTGTATTCTAACGATCCCTCTTTACTGCTCCCCATTAATCTTTCCTGGATTACTTAAGAAAGACTTTGCTTTGCTGCGTAGGGCACTAAAAGCTGTTAGTAGGGGAAGTGGGGTTTCGTTAAACCTGACTTAGTTTTCGTGCTTATTGGCACTCACCAGCCACAGCAAGGTGTACCTGTAATCTTGAAGTAAGTCATATCCCTTGTGAGATTTGAACAAACATCACCCAGTGTGCTGTAGTCAGAGACTTTATCATTGAGGTATCCGGGCTCGCGACTTACCTCCTGTAGAACTGTATTGGTCGGTCACGAATCGGAATACCTCAGTGGTAACGTCTTTGATTGCAGCACACCGGGTGACGCGGGTTCGAATCTCACAAGGGATATGACTTACTTCAAGATTACAGGTACACCTTGCTGTGACTGGTGAGTGCCAATAAGCACGAAACCTAGGTCAGGTAGGGCTTCCTTCCGATTGCCGCCTCCAACCATCTAATATCAACAATTCACAGTGACTATTTCACTATATGTAGTGTAATGGCTAACTGGATAGTGCAATTAACGTCTGTTTTTCGGCTCTGTGATACGTGATTTGATGATACATGTGCATACTTAGTAAGTCTAGAAGATAACGAATTAAAGATGCTGGATGGTTGGTTGGAGGGTAGCTAAAAGGAATTCTCTTAGACATGCCTTTCGTACTTACTCATACTCCTCAGTGAGGTATATTCGCAACCTTACTTCAGGTATTTGCTGCCGGTTCACTACCCAGTGCAGTGCTGCAATTGGAGACGTTACATTCGCTAAGCTATGCTGAACACGGCCATTATCATCGAATAAGGTGTAATCTCTACCTATTACTAGCTGATATTTTGAGATATCACTGAACTACGTTTTTCTGCTATAGTTCTATTAACATTATTGTATACGCTGTAGTCAACCCAGTAATTATTATTATTATTTCCTTTAATTCCTAGAGGAACATAGGGCTTCAGCCGTGCGTCTCCGTTGCGTTCGGTTCTCTGCTAGAGCCTTCACCTGGCTCCATGTCTGCCCACACACTTTCATCTCCTCTTCACATGACCTCCAAGTCACCCTTCGACGACCAAATCGCCGCTTCCCTTTCGGGTTCCACTGGAGCGATGGCCTGTCTAGTGATGTCACCTGATGGTTTCCTCAGAGTATGACCAATCCATCTCCATTTCTTCCTGCTTATTTGTTTCACAATCTGTTCTTGGTTGGTTCGCTCCCAGAGATCCCTGTTGCTGATCTTCTCTGGCCGGCCATCTGATCTTGAGTATTGAGCGAAGACAACTGTTAATGAAGGTCTGTAGTTTGTTTGAGATGCTCTTTATGACGCGCAGTGCAAGTCTCTGATCCATATGGTAAGTAGCACTGACTTCACATTGGAGTTGAAAATCCGGATCTTATTTTTGATGCTGAGTGCTGTTGACCTCCACACAGACTTGAGAGTAGTGTAAGCTTTTCTTGCTTTCCCGATCCTTGCTTTGATATCCTCGCCAGTTCCGCCTGTAGTTGAGATGATGCTTCCTAGTTAGGTAGGTAAAAGAGGTTGTTTCTTTCAGGTTCCTCCCATTTATGCTGATCGTTGTCTGTTGTTGTTGTTCTTGTCCAGGAATCTTCATTACCTCTGTTTTCTCTATGTTCACCTGAAGTTCTATCTTCTCTGGATTCTTTTTCTGCCAATTTGTTGCTTTTCACTTGCATATCTTCCAGTTTGTGGGAAATCAGACATATATCATCGGTGAAGTCCAGATCCTTCAAGTTTTTCTTTTGTGTGAGTCCATTTTATGCCTGTTTCCTCATTGCCCGCTGTTTGTCGCATTATCCAATCTACTGCAATCAGGAAAATCATTGGCGATAGTAGGCAGCCTTGTTTTACTCCTGTCCTCACTTCGAAGGATTCTATATTTAAATCTTTTTCCATAAAAGGTGATCTACTTGTGCAACCGAATGCCACAGGTCCTGGCGACTTCGACTGTTTTATACCATTTGCGTTGAAACTGGCATAGGTTTTTAGTTTTTTTTGTTGCATGTTGAAATTTTTAGAGGTAACGAACTTTTCTGATGCTTAATAGACGGTGGTTGATGAATATGACAAACTGTGAACAGCAGTTTGGAGTATTTCTCTTTTTATAACTTTTTGTAAAAGACTTACAATACCAAATTTTATCAATGTGTCTGATGTTATTATTTGTATTCCCCATTATTTATTGATTATATATTTTTGATTTATTGTATTCCTTTACGTTCCGATGGGGGAACATAGAACTTCAGGCTTCTGGAGCTTTGAAGTCTCAGTAGCAGTGGTGTTTTTAACGGGTTGGGGTTGCTGGTCAACCTTGCCCTCTCAACCTTCCCTCCTTGTCGGGCTTACAGCCGGGTTCGAGGGTGGGGTAAATGTGTGGGCTGTCTGGGAATCGAAGCCCGGACCATGTGGGAATGATTGGCAAGCATTGTATTGCTGAACCACCGAGGCATGACCACTGATTGATTATATGAGACTGAAATCCTCAATGACTATCGATGGACGCTCCAACAGAATCTGAAGATTAACACGGTGAACCAGAGTTTGCTATCACTTTGCTCTAGAAGCCGACATGTCAACAGAGACTCAGCACTCTGATCCAGTGTCACCAATCAACACGGGAAATGCAACAACTAAGTTAAACAACAAATAACAGCTAATAACTGCTGCCCCTCCCCATACAGTGGCCTAATGAAAAACTATGTGTAGTGCTTGAAACGTTGGATGCTAAGTTCGAGTCTCAGCGGGGGAGAGAGGGGAAAGTGTTATGATTCACTGCGAATACAGTCACATTATCCTGCTGATGAACTCCGAATCAGACGAAAGGTGCATTTTAGTTCCTACTGCAAGCCATTTACCACCATCTCATGTTGCTTTACACTAATGGGATGATTGGCAATTCTAATTATTTATTGCTTTCTTTTTGTTCATCGACAGCAAGTAATAGATGGAGAAAAGTCTGGTGTGTTATGTAGACAGACAAACACTAGTAATATAAATGATTCTGTATTCCTTAGTCCATTGAATAACAACAGTATGAACAATATTCGCCGTGGTATCGATGATGCTAACAATAAAACAACTGGAACAATGAATAGAACTCCGAATAGAGATATGGATGGATTGAAGCCGCCATCATTAAATGCTGGAATGGATTCTGGCAATAATATGCTTACAGACAAACCAGTAGGTAGTAGCATTGGCAGACATAATTCAATGCGATCGTTGGCTGCATCTAATCGACCAACAAGTCTATCAAGAACAGCAAGTGTAAGTTGACCAACTCTCATTTCATGTCCTTTTCGCTTTCCACTCCCCACAATCTGCTTAGTTATTATTTTTATTTCCCTCCAAAGTTTAAGGATTTCGTTTAGTATAAATGCACACAGTGATTTTAATGAGGGAAGGTCAAAAAGGCCATAGCTTTCGTCGGTGTCCGCGACTATGAATCTGTAACCGGATAAGACTTGGTAAGGGACCTTTTTGTTAGTGAGACTCACCGTATTTATACGTTTTTAGCTATATTTATGGTCGACTAGATCAACGGATAATAAACTATTCTGATTGGTTGTTAGTTTTCTGAAGGTCAAACTTTTGGGACGTGAAGTTGTCTACTGACAGTAGGTTGTTCTGATTAGTTGTTGATTTTTTGGGGGTTAAATCTTGAGGTTGTTTTCTGACCACAACGTAGGCGAGTTGCAGATTTGAGAAATAAACACTTCTATTTCTGTAGCTATTGTTTCAAAATGTTGTTTTTCAATTTAGGTTACTTCCTATCAATCTGCATCTATATACTATTGATAAATTTTGCTAGTAGTACATGGCACAATATAATAACATAGTTAAGTGGAGGGAGAGTTTAATCACCGAATCTTTGCTGATCGAATCATCCGATATATTGGATTATTTTCTACCACGATACCCAAACTCTACTCTTACACTAAGCCTGAATAATTGTTGCAGTTATTGAATGTGCCAAAAATAGCAGTTTCTTCTATAGCCTGTTATGGAATTGAGTGAAAGTGCATAGTATCTACCAGTCAACGAGGTATGAGGATGTAAGTGAAGTGCGTATCTAGGCATGTTTCTATGAGAAATTTTTAGTAGTATTAGTAGGAGTAATCGTGAGCAGAGTAATATAATAAACTTTGTGATCAATTTTGGTCACGGATTGATATCAGTTAGAGGACCATTAAAGAACCTGGGAGTACTGGACTGGTATCTCATCCTAGTTCTGGACTCTTCAACAGTACTCACCCATGGGGTTTCGAACCTAGGACCTTCTGGTTACAAGGTGAGGTTGTAGGCCATAAAGCCACTGGGACACCTG